GTGTCAAGAGGGAAATTGGGGGCCCAAACAGGCCCCATGATGCTCATGATGCTGGCTCTTGGGGGGCTGCAGGGCGCTTGAAATGCGCTATAAACCCCAACATAACGCTCAAAATGCACGCTGTGGGCAGTGTTTGCGGCTGTAAATACCAGTGTTGGTAGGATCTGCACTGTATGACAAGCATGAGACAGGTTTGGCGTGCATTGTCCACGCCAAACCCTATAAAATGTGCATGTTGCATGGTTTTTGGGTGTATTATGGCCATATTTCCGGCACTTTTGTGTTTCCTAAGCTTCTCCAATGCGCGAAATGTGGCTGCTATTGGCAGCTGATTTGCTCAAAAAATGCACTTGTGGGCTAGAACATGGTCAGCCTGCACAAAGAACCATGTCTAAAGTCATCTTTGATGGCTTTCTTTGGGTTTTTGACTCCTCCTGGTCCCAATCAAGCCAAAATGGGGTCCCAGTTGTGCAGCTGATGTTCCTGTACCAGGCGCGTGCGCGCCTCAGCACAGTTGGGACCCCATTTTGGGCCACTTTCAGCTAAACTAGAGAGAACAGGGTCTTCAAAACCTAAACAACATCTCAGGTAACAAGAACATAACTTTTTCGTGCACTCAATCAGGAGTATTAGCAGGGCTGGGGTGGCCTTGGCTTTCACTTCATAGCCGGGTGGGCAAGGGGGGCAGGCAGCGGCGAGGCCGGCACCTGCCGCCAGGCCTTAAATAATTCATGTAAGCTAACTGGGTGCTGATCACTACTTGTCCAAAGTATAGGCAACATTTTCTTTATGAAGTGCCATTTTTGTGCGGTCATCCCACTTGATCTTAGACTGATGGCAAGCGACAGGAACGAAAATCCGGTAGCGCTCGTTTTCCCGAAGGAACTCATCTACAAAACCATAGCGACCTCGAAGCAGCATCTCTCTCGCTGCACATGGTTCCAGCAATGAAGTGTTGAGTTCCGCTCCATTCAACTCTGGCTTGGATTGCAGCCTGAACAGAGTCAAAAAAACTGAGCCTTTAGCTGGGACATGGTTCCGCATGGTTCCGCGAAAGCTCCGGACCCTTTCAATTGCACGAGCGAGCCGCGCAACTTTGGCTTTAGGACGCTGAAGCTCTGGTCCCTGGGATCAACGCCCAACGGACTGGGGGTGAAAGCAAGCATCTTAGATCATCTTAGCTCTGTGCCTCAATGCGAACTCAGTCTCCACGCCACCCATAATTAGGCGGACAATGTAGCGGTCCTGCTCCTTCTCATATCCTATACAGACTCCGCACCTCAGCTCACATCGCGACGTATTTGCCGAAATAACGGTCTGTCGGATGTCCAGCCTGCCATTGAGCTCTGCTTTCTTCTCGAGGTTCTTGATTCTGACGGTCTGGCCCAGCACAGTCTCACCTTGAAGTCAGCAAAAGCCAAAGACGACAATCTTCAAATCAACGACCCTGTTGGCAAAAGCCTTCTGAGTCTTGAGTACCTGACTAGCATTCTTGACTCTGTCGCTGTTCGCACCCTTGCTTCTGTTCCAGGTGACCTTGCCGCGTCGCCACAGGCCAGCTCGCTCAAAAAAATGCTACCTGCGCCTCTTTGAAGAAATCGTTGATCAATGGCTCCAGGGTCTCATGCGGTTTGGCTGGATTGAACCTCATGCATGCTACGATAACTAAGGCATTGATCATCATCCACGCAGATTGTCAGCCAACACGGATGATCACCGGCCAAGTCTGCTGTTGTCTGACGTGTGTGAAAAATTCTGGTTCTGCACCAGGTTTGTGATAATGCCTCGAATTCATCCTTCAAAATTGCCTCACTGTACCCGCGAACTTGTCCCTCATTTCTGCTAAAGTAGAAAGCATTGTGACCAGCATTCCTGAAAGCAGCCGACCGAAGCCATGGAACAAACAAAAGATGTAATAGCCCTAAATCCTGGAACCCTAAACCTTAAACGGGGGGCGTTAAAAGCTGGGTGGCAGCTCTGAACCATCCTGAACCCCCAAAAGGAGTCGGGGGTGGCAGCCCTAAACCTTTAAAAGGACGGGGGATGAAAACCCTGAATCTTAAAAAGGAGTGTCAAGGCCCTAAACCCTAAAAGGGGTAGCAGCACAGAAGCCGAAACAGCACCTGTAGCTCTGAAGCCTAAAAGGAATCGGGTGGAAGCCCCGAGGGACCTTATGGGTTGGCCGCTGTACAGTAAAGTTCAAGAGGTATGATTGTGCCATGAGTGCAGATGACCCACTTCATTTGTTCATTGAATACGGTGCGATGCGATGCGGTGCGTGGGGCAGCAAGAAGCTCTCAATGGGCGCGGTGAGGCATATTTATTGGAGGCCAAAAGCGCTGGCAGGGATGGCGGAGCTTGATTGACGCAGTTGAGGACAATCCAAGTTTAGAGTTTTCCGGTAGACGTTCTAATTCCTGCTAAAGGTCGCAAAAGAAGCTTTTTAGTTGGCGAATTGGAGCCTAGGAATTCTGGCATTGAGCCGCCTCCGAGTCCCTACATCAGAAGTGCCTGAGGTCAGGTTTTGTGAAGGACCTGGTCTGTGTACGATCCAATTATTCCCAATGTTCGCTCGACCCAGAGATCTGTTTAGATTGCGGGTTTGCCGCATAGCTTCTGTCAATTCCAGCACAAACCTCTCCTGACAATCTCCGTGTCAGGGACAGAGCTACCACGACATAGACTGTTTGAATTTTTCGGCAGGGCCCCTGTTTAGAGCATCTCCTTTCAATGCAACCCCCATCTTGGAAAGACACATGCGTCATGGACTCTAACGCAGGTGCCGGTCTGGCAATGTCAGATGGTTGCCTTGTGGCGTCCGGATGGCAAGTGACAGATGAGAGTTTGGCAGCAAAAAAAGTGCAGTGGAAACAAGCGCAGCTCATGTACCGTACAAGATGCCCTTCAGGGTGCGGTTTCATGCATCTAGCCAGGCACGGACACAAGCGCTTCCTTCGAGTGGCTTGCTAGGATGATATGCTGACGACAAGTTCTGAGGAGCTGCGATTGCACCTCTCCAAAACGTCCTCCCTTCCACTTGGGTGGTTATGCGTACAGAATGGCTGCAAAATCCTGTGAGCAGCTGCATTGGCGAATGCTGTCAATCTCTACAATAAATCCGAGACGACCCCCTTTGATAGTCCTTACATTCTCTCCCCACTCTCCGTTCAGCGCCAGTAAGTTGAGAACTGACGGATGCCTATCAGGGTGAGGGATCCAAAAAAAAAAGGCATCAAAAATACATACGCCCAGCGCATGAAAAAAAAGCTTG